GTAAGCCAGCGAACCGTATTCAAAATTCATTCCCGGTGTTGACAACAATTTCACAATATTCCATCTTAAATGGAAAAACCTTTCCTCGAGCGGCAACAAGTCTGGGGCCGGCATGTTTGTTCTGACCTCGTCCTCGATGTCTGGATGTTTGTCCATGACAGATTTAATTATATCAATCAGTTGATTCGGCCTCAAATCTTTCAGGGCAACATCTAAAGGTCCATTATATTTTATTGCTTTCTCCAGTCTTGGTTTCTTATTTGGCGGTGTTGAGTCAATTTGCCAATTTGTGCTAATATCTTGCGATTCACTAGTATCACTGAAGTCTGTCCCCTCTGATGTCCAGTCTGAATCAATAGATTCAGAGCGCACGCGTTTCCGTGGGCTAGATTCTGAAGTGGCTGTTGAAGTGGGCGGAGAAAAGCAGACCGAGTTTGTTGACGGCGGTGGAAGAGGTGAGGTCCATCCAAATATTTCAACGTCGTCGTCAGTCGTGGAATTTCTTGTTAATTCATTTTCCGGCGACCTCGAGATATGAAGACATTCACGACCTGAATTCAAAGAATGTTAATTATACAACAATTGCCATATAATACAACAATAGGCATTAACAATAAAACGAGAAACGATAAATTATACTGGAAAATCTAACGCAAATATAAACAATGAATTTATTCTTAATAATATTCGTGTGGGACCAACACAGCAGTAAACCTTTTCAATTTAAAAAGAATAAAACACATTTAAAATAATAAATAGAACGGTATTTTAACTAGCATAGGTTTTGAGATTTTATAAAAAGAAACTTCCCAAAATAACAACAGTTACAACTTAAAAAGTCTAGGAGGTACATAGTTTATAATTTGTTATATGAATCAGGTATGGCAAGAGGCAAAATTTATTTCTTTTGTTCATTACAAATCTGCTCACCTCTCTGCTGGTTAACTGTTTCATTGCGGGGCGAGGAGGCCCGGCTCTGATGGCTGGGCGTGGAAGTTGACCTGCGATCCCTCGCATTCAAGAGCGGCACTAAGACCTCAGAATGGAGGCGATCCAGGCGTGCGGAGATCTCGTCCAGGGTTGCGCGAACGCGGCGCTTGCTCTCTGGTGTCATCGCTCTCTCCATTGCTCTTCACAACAAAATAAGGAATCAATTAATAAGAATAAAGTTGAGGAAGTTTTCGAATGTGTACAAGAGCAAGCGATTGAATGCCATCTGTTTTAAACTATTAATAAAAGATCACATACACATACAACAACTCAGACGATACTTTAAAAGTTGCAATAATTCTAAAAAATATAATTAATTCTAAGAGTATATTTACCTTAAGAAATCTCAGCCGTTAACTATCTTCACCGCGTTAATGATTTTCCCAAACGGGGGAAGAGAAAAAAATTATTGTCAAATAGAAATTAATACGCGCACTCAAACACAGTCACTGCTCACAAATATTGTTATTATTATTGCGATATCAGTAGATAATATTTAAAATAATAAACGAACACTAGAAACCAAACGTACACTCCTCGCTAGTTACTACTTCCGAATGACTTTACTGTCACAGGTACAGACCCTTTTATACTCGTACCTGGAAATATCGAAAAATAATAATAATAAACTCTTTATTGCGCACAGTAGAGATGTATACAAGGAGTATTTATACAGAATGTGCATATACAAAAGGCGGCCTTATCGCTAAAAGCAATCTCTTACAGACAACCTGGCATAAAGAATGGATAAGTACAGAGAGAAAGGTAGATGGCGCAAGTCAGATACAGTAAATGCATAAAAGGAATCAAACAAAATGCAAAATATTCTAAATATCAAATAAGATTGCAATACATAAACATACATATATAATATAAATAATAATACATAAACATAAATATACTAAATAGATCAAGATAAATCACACATAGTAAACGTCAAAGCAAATTAGAGAGATAGGTAATGAGATTTTACCTGCCTCTTGAACGAGGCAATAGATTGCGCTGATCTAATAGAAAGAGGTAAGGAGTTCCAGAAGCGGATAGCTTGGATAGTGAAAGAATAGTAGGGAGAAAGCAGTTGTAATAGGGTCCGACAGCCCCATTACTAGCAATATTCTATCAGGTCGACCTCCACGTGGGTTCCCTGGAAAATATCATGGCTAAGTTTTGTTGGATTCGTCACGACCGTTTGGGGGATATTGACAGTATTTGCCACGGTAGATTGTTTTTTTTAATGGGTGACGATGAAATGGTAATTCTACCTGTGCTTTTATTACTTACTAGCGGCCCGTCCCGTTTTCGCACGGGTGGACATTTTTAAAACATTTTACAATTTTATCTGTACCTGCCTAGCTATCTATTTCATAGATGTGCTCGACTCCCACCTGCCCCTCTTCCACACCGCTAAAATAGGTATTAGTAATAGGCGACAGCGTTATTTTTTCTATTTTTTATAAAACATTTTTTTTTATAAATTATTATTTCTATGAATTATTAAATACGTAATATCTATTGAATGGAATAGCCGATTTGAACAATTCAAAAAGTAATCAACATAAATTGTAACAGTTTTGAAAACAATATGATTTATTTAAATAAGGATTTAAACAAAAGTATGAATAACATGGTGTAATTTTGGTCGGTATTTCTATCAACTTTTAAAATGTAAAAAGTGGTTATTGTGACATAACGACAATAGTTAGACATATAGTATCGCGCAGTTTTTTTGTAGTTATTGATGTTTTCTTCAATATTGTAGATCATACTTTTGTTCTATCACCAAAAGTTTCCGCAGCGCACATGACGAAATATATTTTATAGCATTTTTTACACCTTGAGTTAGGTTACTAAAGTTTTAGTAAGGATCTCTAATCTTTTCTAGCAATAAATATAGCCTATGTTACTCAGGGTGAATGTAGCTTTCTAAAGAATTTTTGAAATCGGTGAAGAAGTTTTTGAGTTTATTTATTACAAATATACACACAAAAATACAACTCTTTCCTCTTTATAAATATACTTGTGTTAATTCATTGTGTACTCGTACTTACTGTACTGTTGAATGACAATAGGCACACGTGTTATTTTTATCTTATTTTCAAATGATCAATTTCGAACTAACCATTGCTGGGTTATTTCCTGAGTTGTGGTCCTACGGAATAAAGTGTAACTAGCTTTAATCTACTTACACATCAGTTGATAACGTAGGATGACGAAGAAAAAACAAATGTGCCTTCCTTTACACTAAGAAGATAAAGCGCAGCTTTGCACTATACGATACGCAAAGACGTTGGAGAAAACAATCGCCAATGACGTAAGTCGAGGAAAGGAGCAACCGATTTCTATACAAGAGACATTGTATAGACAATACGGTGTCTATTGTATGTATATTGTGGGTGTAATAAACAGCGGTAGAAAATCTATCGTGTCATCCATTACACCCCTTATACAATGTTATGTATTGTAGCTATTTATAACAGAAATTACCTTTGTCTACAGGTACGGCTGGACCTTAAGAATGTTCTCAGAATTTTTATTAGCCGCTGTTATTATAATTACACAAACATTGAGTACGTTTCTTGAAAGTTAGTATTGTCACATAAATTCGTTTTCACAGCTATTTCAATGTATAATAGCGGCTGCCCTTTTGGAAATATTGAAAGATAAATATTAAGCCATTGTAATAACGAAATCAAATCAAATCAAATCAAATCATTTATTGCACGAATATGGGTACATACATTAGTTGAAAAAAATAATTACATGTCCATTATTCCATATTCTACCATATCGGCATGTACAATATAAAATTATAGTAATAATAACTTATAATAATGAAAATAATGTCAATAATAATAATAAAATGTAAAAAATGTCAATAAAAATAATTAAATTGCATGTCTAATATTTATCACTGTAATAGTCATGCAACGTATAGTAACATTTGGCTGTCAAATATTCTTTTGCTTTTTTCTTAAATACATTTAAACTGTTTATTTCCTTAAATGCTTTCGGGAATTTATTATATATTTTAGAGACCATACCGAAAAAACTTTTATCAAATAATGCTGTGACGTGAGGCTGAACGCGAATTTTATCGGTATTACGGTCACTTTTTAACTTTTCAAATAAAAGTTTATTCTTTTTCACAAACAACATTGTTTCAAGAATATAAAAGCTTGGAAAAGTCAGGATATTCAGTCTTTTGAATGAAGTCGTACATGTATCAGTTCTTTTTAAATTGCACATAGATCTAATACACCTTTTCTGAGTCTTGAAGACTATATCTCTATATGTCGAATTGCCCCAAAATATGACACCATACCTTAGTAAGGATTCAACATATGCATGATATGCAGTCAATACCGCTGTCTGATTAACAATCTTAGACAACATGCGTAATGCGTATGAAAATTGGTTTATTTTGCTATTAATATTTTCTATATGATGTTTCCATGTCAGGTGATTATCAATCGTTAATCCCAAAAATTTCGTAATTTTCACTTCATTTACTTTTTTTCCATTAAAATCGATATTAAAAGATGTCAAATTATTTTGTCGATTACTAAAATTCATAAAATGTGTTTTGTCTAAGTTTATCTTTAAATTATTGTCCTTTAGCCAGTCTATTAATATTTTTATTGTATTGTTAATATTTATTTCAAGTTCATTCGAATTCTCATCACTACATATTACGGTACTATCATCTGCAAATAATATCATAGGGTTAGTAGTTATATTTGGGATATCATTTATATATATCAGAAACAATAATGGGCCCAAAATACTCCCTTGTGGTACGCCATATTTTACTTCTTTGAAGTCTGATATAAAATTAATTTCAACTTTTGATTTTGGACATATTCTGTTGATTTGCGTTGCTTGCGTTCTACCACTTAGGTATGACTTAATGAAATCCAATGAAATCCCTCTGATACCATATGTGTGTAATTTCTCAATTAAGGTCGCATGATCTACATGGTCAAATGCTTTTGAGAGGTCCATATATAAAGCACATACGGGTTTCCTATTATCAACGTGGTCTACAATTTTTTTCAAAAATTTATATTAAGCCAAATTTATATTTTTATTCTTTCTAAATCCAACTTGTTCCTCTACCAATAAATTATATTTTTCTAGAAAATTATAAAGAGCTTTATAAATTACCTTTTCAATTATTTTAGAAAATATAGGTATAAGTGCTACTGGCCTATACGATGACATACATTCGCGATCTGCTTTTTTATATAGAGGTTTTATAATACTTATTTTTAATTTATCCGGAAAAATTCCATTTTCAATACATAAATTTATAATATAGCTCAAAATTGGTGCTATCTGAGTAGCTACTTCTTTTACAATTTTTGTTGAAATATCATCGTAACCAGTGCTATTAGTATCTTTTAAAGATCTTATTATTGTCAAAATTTCATCTGGATTTGTAGGTCTTATGAATAAGGAACTTACATTATTCGATGTCATACTTCTTGCTTTGAAATTATCATGCGGTTTAACTTGCTCAATAAAAAAATTATTAAATAATTCAGCTATTCTATTAGGATCAGTTATTTTTTTGTGATCGTTGTTAATTTGTGTTATATAATTCTTAGTTTTATTTTTATATTCATTAATTATTGTCCAGGTGGCCTTCGTTTTGTTTTTAGATGTCTTAATAAAGTAATTGTTTTGTGCTTTTTTTGTTAATTTCATTATATTTTTTAGTCTACTTGAATAGGTTTTGAAGCACTTTTTATTGAGAAGATTTGGATCTTTTCTGTATTTCCAAAGCAGTTTTCTTTTCTGTCTAGAGCATTTTATAATACCCTTTGTAATCCATTTAGGTCGTTGATAAGAACGCATTCTGATTCTCATCAATGGGAAACACATGTCATAAAATAACTTAAATTCATCAAAAAAACTATTAAATGCAGTATTTGGATTGTTAGTATTATATACGTCTTTGAAATGGATGGCCATTAGACAATGCTTAAATTTTTCTATATTTTCTTTACTATAATCACGCTTCATTATAAACCAATATGGGTTACCAAACTTCTCTGAGACCGGACACATCAATAATTGCGCTGTGTGGTCTGAGAGAGCCAATTCAAGTATTCGAGTTTTACAGTCTTTCATATTATGTCCAAAATTATCAATACATGTACCACTACATAGACGCGTTGGATCGTTGATTGCTAACTTTAAGTTGAATCCTTGTAATAACTGTTTAAATTCGAAAGAATATTTATCGGCTTTCAACATGTCAATATTAAAGTCTCCATCCACATAACACTATCTTTCTTTTTTTGAAGCAATACATGCTTAATAAATTGTTTAAAGTTTCAAAGAAAGTTTCATAAGATTCCTGGGTCACTTTTGGAGGTCTGTAAATGCATATAATTAAAATATTATAATCTGTCAATTCCATCCCTGTACATTCGATAATATTACTGATACTTAAGCTCTCTATTTCATTCATAACCTTGTATCTGTGATTCTTACGTACCAAGATACACGATCCACCATGTCTGTTACCTCTAGAATAGTGAGTGATTAATGTATAATTGGGTATTTTTAATAGGCTTGTATCACTTTTCATCATATTGTGTTCAGTTATACAAATTACGTCAATTGCTTCATTTTTGTTCTCTAAATTATGTAACTCTACAGATAGACAATCTGACTTTCCCAATAAGCCATTTATATTTTGATGTAATATGGTAATATGATTCGGTGCGAAAATTATTGTTTGTAGTAGTATAATTGTTATTCTGATTGGCGTCCATATTAATACGAGAATATTCTCTAACCTCACGGGCATTGAAATGGTTCGCTTCGATTTGTGTATACTTATCACTAGTTGTTGATTGTTTATTTAATAATTTAAGTCGATAATTAATTAAATTTGTTTTGTATTCGATTTGTAAAATATCTTTTAATAAAGTCCTACTCACAAATAATGAAATGCTTGCCCTGTAAAGCCGTTGTCGAGAATAGTTCATGTCAATATACGTTACATTTTCATATTTACCACATATAAATTTCAATTCATTATTAAGTTTTTTCTCATTTAGAACGTGATTAAAAGGTACTTCAGAGATTAATACATTAGTATTAGATACAGTTTCTAGCCAAATATTTATACTTAATCGAAATTCATACGGGTTCACATCATTCGTACCTCCTAAGACAATAACAAAGTCATTACGATTTAATTTTTTGATCAAGTTTGTCTCTGTATCAAGAACATTTTTAATTTTAGCCCCTGGTTTCCAAAAACAGGATACACTATAGTTGGAACCCAATAGTTTTTGAAGATGACTCTGCAAGTACCTTCCTTGCTGGTCTGCTATTATGATAACGTGCCGCTTCTTCAAATCTTCTTGCTCATTAACTATATTGCTGCCAGAGCCAGCGATGACAAAGTCCAAAGCGGCGGTTATCGGAGGACATGTATTATTTATACTGGAATTTGGTTTATTGGTTTCGTCAGTTAAGTCGATATCGATTTGTGATTTTCGCGTTTCATGTTTTACTGGACTCTGTTTCTGATCGATAAACGGTGTGTCTGTAAGCGTCTTTCGTTGGTTTGGAGTGGATAAACTTGAAGTCCTTACACGTTTATGTTTTCGTTTCCTCAGTGGTGTCAAATATTTAGTGTTGGATACCTGTTTTCCAGAACTTACGTTATCGTTGCTATAGAAACCTACCCTCTTGTACATTTCAATAATTTTCTGACACTTTTCCAGCTCAGATTGAAGATGTCTATTGTAGCGAACTCTTTGCTACATTTTTTATATTCTTATTGTCATTCGAAATTTATATATTTTTTTGACATATTGTTTTTACATATTGTTAAAAATATATTTTGCTAAAGTCTGTCTCCTCATCTTTTCTGTAGTTTTCCATTCTAAAATCCTCTCATTGCATATTAAAAGTATTATCTCCGTTTCATTTGGTCCTTCTACCTACTTATATTTACAGCGCACCTATTTGTCATAGTCCATTTTCTAGTTACATGTAAGTATAATTTTATTCGTTTTCATATTACATTACGTTCTACTAGCTATCACGTCATTTAGTTTTCATGATCACCCGTAGTAAGAGTAGAGTCATGTCATCTGAACCTACGCCAAGTTGTTACGTTCCACAAGTCAACCCAGACTCTAATATCGGTGGTGTGGAGGGCGCTACGGCTCATAGCATAAGATCCACTAAAAGTGGGTCCAGGCATTCCTCCGCAATTATTAAAGCACAAAAGGCTGCTGCAGAAGCACTGGTTTTGCGCCGCCGCTTGGAACGTGAGTTAGACATCGTCACACGGGAACGCGAACGTGAACGACAGTTGGCAGCTCTGCAGGTAGAGGTTGAAAATAGCGAACTGCGAGCAGAGTTGGCTGCCATTGAAGCAAACGGCAGCTGTACTGGAAGTCGCGCAAGTCATCGGAGCTCTACTAGGGTGGTAAATGATACTGAGAGGTGGGTGGAAAACACTCAATTTATTAAAAGTCATGAAGACAGAGATATCAGGGACATTTCTGCAGTAGAATGTGGACAACAATGTTTTGTTCCATTACCCGGTAGTTCGGTACTACCACCGACTGCCACACGGGCAGCTGCATCCCCTGTCATAGCTTGTATATCACAACCGTGTAATAATGGTGTGCCCGTAGCGGTGGACATTTCACCTCCGCTCATTAATACAGACGCAAATATTTTAAAAGCTGTAGCTGACACCGCGGCAGCAGCGAAGGCTCTTGCCTCTGGTCGCGTTGCTAACCTCGAGTTATTTCCTTTTTTTGGTAACCCACTACAATGGTTACAGTTCAAACGTATTTATGACGTCACTAAATCTAACTTCTCTACTTTAGGTAATTTATCCAGACTTCAGAGCGTACTCAAAGGGCCCGCATATGAGGCCGTCGCGACGTTACTAATGGCAACAGATGACCCGGACGAGGTGGTGCGCGCACTTGAAGAAAACTTCGCGCGTCCAGAGTTTATCGTGTTCAGGGAAGTGTCTCATTTAAAAAATCTTCCACGTCTGGGCAATGATCTGAAAGAACTCTCGACACTCGCCAATAGGGTACGAAATTCTATAGCTACAATTAAACTGTTAAATCAGTCAGAGTATTTATACTCTCCTGAGTTATTCTATGCCGTACTAGGAAAATTAAATCCTACAATGAAAATTAGGTGGACGGATTTTGCCACACAAGATACTACTCGACGTCCTAAGCTTGAATTGTTGTCTGAATTTTTGAGGCGCGAACTAGACCAACACATTCGGTTTGGTCTGTCACCCGAGTCTAGTTCGTTCCAACAATTTAATACCGATAAACAATCATTTAGGCGAGAAAATATTAATACTGTCACGCATATTAAGGGCGAGAATACAAAAATACAAACGGTATGTTCGTTTTGTAAAAAAGATCATAACATTAAGTCGTGTTCTGAATTCAAAACTTTATCTGTAGATGAAAGGTGGCAATGGTTACGACAAGCAAAGGTTTGCTATCGTTGTCTAAGAACTAATTCACATCAATGGAAAACTTGTAAAGTAAAGCCATGCAATATAGACGGCTGTCATGTTCGTCATCATCCTTTACTTCATCAATATCCGTCTAGTTCACATGAGGCAAACGTCACACAAGTCACAGATAATAACGCTATAGATATAGAAAATAAACAATCAATTTCAAATAATTTAAAGTCGTCTGAAGGTAACGTTTTTACTCGTATATCCACGACTCATACAGGCATACAACATCCTTCTACAGGTTGCCGTCCTCACGTGTATTTAAAGGTGATACCTATCACTGTTTCGGGGCCTAAAGGTAGTTCTGATGTATTTGCACTACTTGACGATGGAAGCACCGCTACTTTAATCGATTCTAGTGTTGCGACGCGCATAGATGCGACAGGGCAACAACGCAAGATTACTGTAAACGGTATTGGCGGTCTTGAACGACATGTTACGGTATCATACGTTAATTTTCACATTAAGGGTAGACACACACAAGAGACATTTTTAGTAAAAAATGCTAAGTCTATGAATTCGTTATCCTTGCAACCTCAAACAATTCGTCGTCAAGATATCGAAACTTTTTCACACCTTAATGATTTAGTCGATGTGTTATCAAATGAGGATGCCACTCCAACCGTTTTAATCGGAGCTGAGGACTGGCATTTATCAATTAATCGTGATATTCGTGTTGGTAAGAAGAACGAACCCGTGGCCTGTTTAACATCACTAGGTTGGACGTTATATGGCGCTTCTTCAAGTAAAACAAAATTAGTAGAATTTGTAAATCACGGTATATTTATAGAGTCATCTAAGGATGATAATTTAGAGTCGTTAATCAAAGAACAGTATAAAATAGATTCTTTAGGGATTTCTAAGACGGAATCACAACTTAATATACAGGAACAACGTGCAGTTGATATTTTAGAAATCACTTCGAGGCGCTTACCCTCTGGTCGATTCGAGTTAGGCATGCCTTGGCGTCACGATATCCAGCACGTTCCTGGCAGTTATCCTCAAGCATTGTCGCGTTTTTTAAGCTTGGAAAGACGTATGTCCAAAGATGCTACATTCGCTAAGGCTTATTGTGATTTCATTACGAATATGATTACTAAAGGTTATGCGGAAGAATGTGCTTTTGAGTCTTATTATTCGAATCGCCGTGATGACAAACATTCTGATAGTATACGTTTTTATCTTCCACATTTTGGCATATATCATCCTCAGAAGCACAAACTTCGAGTTGTTCATGATGCAGCAGCTAAGAATGAGGGCATCAGTCTGAACTCTTTATTACTTCCTGGGCCTGATCTACTCCAATCGTTATTAAAAATATTGTTCTGTTTTCGCGAGGGTCATTTTGCTATGATGGCAGATATTAAGGAAATGTTTCCACAAGTTCGTATTAGAGAACAGGACAGAGACGCATTTAGGTTTCTTTGGAGACATGATAAATTACAACCTATAAAAGAGTTCAGGATGACATCCGTCATTTTTGGTGCATGCTGCAGTCCGTTCATCGCACAATTTATAAAAAAAAAGAATGCTCAAGACTATGAGAACCTGTATCCTAAAGCTACAAATGCCATATTGTGTCATCATTATATGGATGACTACATAGATTCATTGGACGATATCGACGAGGCAGCTCAGTTAGCGTCTGATATTATCACCGTTCACAAGGCTGCTTGTTTTGAGATGCGGGGATGGATTTCCAATGAGCCAACAGCACTAAAACTCGTTCCGGAAGACCTCCGAGCTGTTCAACCATTGGAAATTGATGTCTGTAACTCTGTCACTAATGTCCGAGCGTTAGGCATGTCATGGAATCCTGCAACTGACAATTTGGGTTTTCGTACTGGTATATCCGAAACCTACCCTAACTCTCTTACAAAACGCAAGGTCTTGTCACATATAATGCGTGTTTATGACCCCTTGGGTTTATTAGGGCCTATTGTCATAAAGGGTCGGATTTTATTTCAAAAAACATGGAGATCTAATGTAGATTGGGATACTGAACTTTCACAGACAGAGACATCAAGATGGAATGACTGGTTTAAGGAACTGTTGAGTATTTCTTCATTAACAATTCCTCGTTGGTATTCTAGCGTTAAAGATGCGAACCTTCGTACAGAGAGTTGCACATTTTCGCAGATGCAAGTGAGCTTGCATACGTATGCGTCGCTTATTGGCGTTTAATATACGCTGACGGCGACATTAAGCTCACTCTCATCTCGAGCAAAGCTCGCGTTTCTCCTTTAAAACCAGTTTCTATCCCACGACTGGAACTCCAGGCCGCCCTAATTGCTTCCCGTCTCGCAATCACCGTTAAGGACAGCCATCGCAAAAAGGCTGTTTGTACATTTTTTTGGACTGATTCGATGACTGTTCTCCAATGGTTACGAGGCGATGCACGGTGCTACAAACCCTTTGTCGCCCATCGCGTAGGCGAAATATTAGAAAATTCATCCGTCAATGAATGGCGATGGGTGCCAACGGATATGAATGTAGCCGATGACGCGACTAGGTTACGTCCTATTAATTTAGATAGTTCACATAGGTGGTTTTGTGGACCATCATTTTTACATAATTCTCCAGAAAACTGGCCAAAGGAGCCAGTTAATATCGCACCAGTTCTTGAGGAGCTAAAGTGTCAACCACAGGAATTGGTGGGATTCACTTCTTTTAATTCAGATTTGGCTTTTCCAGTTACAGCAAATTTTGATTTCTTCAGTGACTGGACTCGTTTATTACGTGCCACAGCTCGGGTTCATCAAGCTGTAGCTATTTTTAGAGAAATTTTGGCCAACATTCGAAATTCTAAATTAAATGGCGAAGTCTTTCGTTCTCGCCGGCGCTCAACGTCCACTATTCTGCTACCATTAGATGCCGATTTAATTAAAACCGCAGAAAGGCACATCTTGCAGCGCACGCAACTAGATAGTTTTGGAGAAGAATATAAATTGATTCTTAATTCTAAACCAATACTTCGGAATAGTCGCCTGAGTAAACTTTCACCAACCATTGGAGAAGACAAGCTTTTACATTTAGCTGGGAGAATTAAAGCCGTAGAGGATGTTGATCCAGACACCAAGTTTCCAATTTTGCTAGATGGTCGCCACCCAGTTGTACACTTGTTAGTACATTTTTACCATTGCCGTGCAGGTCATGCAAACCATGAGTTGGTTATAAACGAATTAAGACAAAAATTCTGGTTAGTTAGCCTTCGTAATACTGTGAGATCCGTAGCCAGACAGTGTCCGTTTTGTCGAATTCGCAGGGCCTTGCCAATGGATCCTGCCAGAGGAGACCTGCCGCAACAAAGATTAGCACATCATCAACGACCTTTTACATATACTGGAGTGGATTACTTCGGTCCAGTTACTATGACTATTGGACGACGTCACGAAAAACGCTATATAGCCTTATTTACATGCCTGTCTTCAAGAGCTATCCACTTGGAGGTGGTGCATAGTCTGTCCGCAGATTCTGCGATAATGAGTCTTAGACGTTTTATTGCCAGAAGAGGAACTCTAACCACCATCTTTTCTGACAACGGTACTGCATTTATTGGAGCCAACCGCATTCTTAAAGAATTTTACACATCTGATGTAAAAAAATTTGCGGCTACAAAAGGTATCACTTGGAGCTTTATTCCACCAGCAGCGCCAACTTTTGGAGGGTGTTGGGAGCGGCTTGTAAGATCTGTCAAGGTCGCATTAAAAGCCACTCTCAAAGAAAGGTCACCCAAAGAAGAAATACTTACGACACTTGTGGCAGAAGCTGAGGCAATTGTAAATTCACGCCCATTAACTCATGTTTCAAGCGATCCTGATGAACCAACCACCTTGACACCATTCTATTTCCTCATTGGTACGTCGTCAAACCAAATAACACCACCATTGGAGGATCGTGACCTAATTGGCCGTTCGGACTGGAGAAAGGCATTAAGGTTGGCTGACCATTTTTGGAATCGGTGGGTGCGGGAAGTCCTCCCCACAATGCAACTAAGAGTCCAAACAAAAGGAACGCAGGATTTGCAAGTCGGAGACGTAGTCTTTATAGTCGACGAGTCTCTACCACGAGGTACTTGGCCACGAGGAAGGATCGAAAGATTGTTTCCCGGCAGAGATGGAGTAACACGAGTAGTGGACGTTGCCACAGCAGGAGGTACGCTACGGCGCCCCCTTAAAAAACTAGTAAAGTTGACCACTTAAGGTTTGTCTGACCTTGGCCAGTTAAACTAGTTGGTGCAGTTCTGCACGAGGGGCAGGATGTAGCGAACTCTTTGCTACATTTTTTATATTCTTATTGTCATTCGAAATTTATATATTTTTTTGACATATTGTTTTTACATATTGTTAAAAATATATTTTGCTAAAGTCTGTCTCCTCATCTTTTCTGTAGTTTTCCATTCTAAAATCCTCTCATTGCATATTAAAAGTATTATCTCCGTTTCATCTATTTTCACTGTTTAAATTTTCTATTTCTAGGTTAGCGCTGCTTAAGTCCATTCTAAGTTTATAATTTTTTTCCTGTATCTCAGCCATTGTCAGCGAGTCATTAAATGATGTATTTGGTAAACTCACAGCCGTTGTTTCAAATAATGAAGATTCATTACTGGAAATATCATTTAATGAATTTTGTTTAAATTGTTTTCTAACGGTTACATTTTCATTTTCCATTCTTCAGTGTTTTTATTATTAGCACAATATAAAATATTCCCTACTGAAACTCAAGATAAATAGCAGAGAGGTAGTGTATATCAACGCAGAGAAAAAGTGTGCATTTATGATGCAAACAGTTTATTCTGTATATATAGTCACTTTTAATAAGTTATTGGTCTCATTAATCACCATACATTGTTCTTAGCCCTTTACCAAATTAGGACTGCGTAATTATCTTGTATAAATAATATTCATTCTTCCCTTAATATTCTGAATCCCAAGCATGTGTTATTATCAATAGAAATCACTTAAGATGTCGCTGAATATAACAAGTTGAATTTTGTTACGAGTATACAAAGTCCAAAGTCCAACTTTGAGTTTTTTAAACAAAATTTGTAGGTAGTCCGTTAACTTTATAAATTTAAAAATAACCACTATTCTACATGAAAAATATTTAAAATGTATATAGATTTGTGTTCGTCACTATTAAAAGAATGTACTCATATAAACAAAATTTACAAGAATTAGTTATTTCCTCACAGTTTCTGCACAAATATAAAACGTAAAATTTTCATTGAATTATCGAAATTAACTTTCAACCAACACTATCACGTGATACTTATACTATTATTTATCTATTTTTAATAAATTTAGTTCTAAATGTTTTCTTTATGAATTTAAAAAAATATTTTTCCTAGAGACAATGTGTAATGTACCGCGCCACCTAGCGGATCCTAACGGAACGCGCCACCTAGCGGAAACTAATGGTTATCTCTATGGAAGGCGTGGAGATAGTCTAAAAGGATTGTTGGCTAATGCAATTAGGTATAGTCACATATTAGTTACTATTTTGGTGATAACGCATGAATAGTAAAATTTGGCAAATAAAATAACATTATTATGTACAACGGTGTTGTTTACATTACTGTTTTACGAGTCGACGACCAATATCTACCTGAAACTTTTATTTTAATAATAGCCACTTTCATTTTTAAGTATCGATACAAGACTCGTCTTTAAAGCTGTCTTCACTTTGTAGTTCATGAAACCTTAAAATCAAGGTACCTATGCCAGATCTCGGCGAGAAGTCGACACCTGATGTTAGGTAAGTAGTAACCATCGCCTATAAGCAGACATGAACAGCATGACCATGACCACCGTGGACATGACAGATACTGCGACAGTCATGATTTAGTAGGGAATAATCTGTTAATAATAGCCCCACTAATAATAATACACCCCTATCAGGTCGACCTGCACGTGGTTCCCCTTTTAAACCATAGTGGTTTATTCTTATTTAATTTGTCACGATGGACTAACTGATCTGCTTTCGTCTTCACCTGTCATCTATCATTGGTGCCCCGATTATACCAATAGTGCAGGCGGGGTCATCATTCCATTATCATCCATTAAAATAGAAGATACCCATCATACCCAATTTGTCTATATACAATATATTTATGTCCATCGTCTTTCCTGTAAACTATAGATACACTATAGACAAGCATAAATATGGCTCTTTACTACATCTATACTTTATAGATACATACCTCCCTTTTAAACCGAAACTGCATTATATATTTTTACGTACTCAATTTATATTGTACACTTGGCATAATCTAGTATATGCTTAGGTACATTGTCTTTAAACAAAAGTATTTCTACCAGTTGTCTATTACCTGTAACTGTAGGTAGCGATGTGTCTGTGTAATGTGTCCAATGCTATTTGAGTGTTCGGCTTGTTGTTGAAATAATAATGTGAACAAATTAGCTAATGAGAGAATTTTATATTAATCGACTGTGTACTCGTACCTACTGTTGTCTAATACTCGTATTGGTTTTGTCTTATTTTCGAATGACTAACTTTGAAATAATAATTCCTGAGTTGCGGACCCATGGAATACCTAAAGTGTACACAATAGCTTTATATCTATTCTGTGTGTAGACCATCTTCTTATTATTCTGTCATCATGCCGCCTTATGACATTTTACCGTTGGGGGAGTTTGCTAGTATTTGCCACGCAAAAAAACTGCCATTTTTTAATGTATGAAAATGATGGAATGGTAATCCCGCTTGCGCTATCGGTATACATAGGCGGGGTACCAGTGAAAGGTGACAAATGAGGATGAAGGCTAGAAGGCAGGTCAGTTGGCCCATAATAACCGATTGAACAACAATTAACCACTATGGTCTCCAGGGGGAACCGCGTGGAAGTCGATCTGATGGTGTGTATTGCTAGCAATGGGGCTGTTAAATCTCATCACTAACAATTCCTTTCCTCCCACGGTTGGCAGTTGGGTTAGCAACCGCAGTTTTAGTTTTGGTGACGTTTTAAGAGGGACTTTGCTGCCCACCCTCGACCATAAATTTAGCCTTTTACCTCTTACAACGCCCACGGGGAAGGAAGCGTTTAACCTATTCTATGCCGTTTCATTCATTCTATGAACCACACGGCAAATAACTTTTATTGGAGGGGAAGGGATAGTTAGTGATGCAAACTACCAGTCCCATTGGTAGCAATATACTCTATATTGCTCAGGTCGACTACAACCTGGTCTCTCTTGGAAACCATCGTGCTGAATTACTGATATATTCATTACGATGGGCTAACTGACCCACCTCTTCATGTCACCTATTATCTATCACTGGTGCTCTACCAGTGTATTTGTACCGTCAGTGCAGGCGAGGTTACCATTTGATTGTCATCCATTAGAAAAAAATACTTTAATTACTTATTAGTTATTGTTAGGTACTTATGTCACACCAAGATTTAGGTAGTTGTTTCGTGAAGTAGATAATCATTTTAGTTATAAAAAAAGGTAAAAAAGAATTCGTAATTTGTTTAATATCAATAAATACTCTATCTTTTTATTGATATATTTTATTGATGATTATTTTCTCAAACTTGTAGTTATTTGCGCATAGGTATAAAACTACGCCCATATTCTGCGGTGGGCGTTAGACAATTCTTGATTGGCCCGACGCACGCGGCCGCCCTTGAATATGCCATTATTTCTCTCTCTCTCTCTCTCTCTAAAATTTTATTTTATATTTAATCATAAGCCATTTGTACAGTGTGCTCTTAAATTTTCTCAATGTCTTTATATTTATTATATTTTTTGGGTTATTATTATAAATTCGTGTACACATATTATAACAATGTTTTTGATAAATCGTAGTCCTAGGAATTCGATTTAATACCAGCCTATTTGGATTTCTTCTATTTCGCGGATAATGCTCTGTGGCAGTAATAAAGCTGTTTGAATTTTTCTTAACAAATACAGATGCTTCATAAATATACATGCAACCTTGTGGAAGGGATTCTAAAAATTAAAATATATTCCTGGCGTCTCGGATGTCATACAATAAAACACATTTTTTAAAAATTTTTTCTTAATATTTATTTGTACTCTAATGTTTATATTACAACACTGTTTTCTCTGAGGATATTTAGATTATTATTTGATACATGTACATAAATATAACAATCTTGAATAATACTATAATAATAATACAATTGTCAAGATCTGGCATACGTACAAAATATAAAATAATAAAAATTCATACATAGATAGACTTGCCTAATTACAGTAAAGGCACTATCGTAATATATACATTCATGTACATACAAATGAAAAAATACACATTTTATATACAATACACATCACTGGCGAACCGTCACAACTCATTCCCGGTCTTGAGAGCACTTTCAAAATATTCAATTTTAAATAAAGAAGCCTTTCCTGGAGCGGTTACAAGTCTGGGACCGGCATATTTGTTCTGATCTCGTCTTCGATGTGTGGGTGTTCGTCAATGATAGATTCAATTATATCTATCAGTTGAATCGGACTTAAACCTGACAGTTTAACATCTACAGGTGCATCATATTCCATTGTTTTCTCAAGCCTTGGTCTTTTATTTGACGGTGTTGAGTCAATTTGCCAATTTGTGCTAATATCTTGCGATTCACTAGTATCACTGAAGTCTGTCCCCTCTGATGTCCAGTCTGAATCAATAGATTCAGAGCGCACGCGTTTTCGTGGGCTAGATACTGAAGTGGCCGTTGAAGTGGGCGGAGAAAAGCAGACTGAGTTTGTTGACGGCGGTGGAAGAGGTGAGGTCCACCCAAATATTTCAACGTCGTCGACAGTCGTGGAATTTCTTGTTAATTCATTTTCCGGCGACCTCGAGATATGAAGACATTCACGACCTGAATTCAAAGAATGTTAATTATACAACAATTGCCATATAATACAACAATAGGCATTAACAATAAAATGAGAAACGATTAATTATACTGGAAAATCTAACGCAAATATAAACAATGAATTTATTCTTGATAATATTCGTGTGGGACCAACACAGCAGTAAACCTTTTCAATTAAAAAAGAATAAAACACATTTAAAATAATAAATAGAACGGTGTTTTAACTAGCATAGGTTTTGAGATTTTATAAAAAGAAACTTCCAAAAACAACAACACTTACAACTTAAAAAGTCTAGGAGGCCCAAAGTTTATAATTTGTTATATGAATCAGGTATGGCAAGAGGCAAAATTTATTTCTTTTGTTCATCATAAATATGCTCACCTCTCTGCCGGTTAACTGTTTCATTGCGGGGCAAGTAGGCCCAGCTCCGACGGATGGGTGTCGAAGTTGGCCAGCGATCCCTTGCATTCATGAGCGGGACTAAGACCTCAGACTGGAGGCGATACAGGCGTGCGGAGATCTCGTCCAGGGTTGCGCGAACGCGGCGCTTGCTCTCTGGTGTTATCGCTCTCTCCATTGCTCTTCACAACAAAATAAGGAGTCAATTAATAAAAATAAAGTT